GCCGAGATCGCGCTGGTTTGGCACGAAAAACACGAGGCGCCAAGGGGGGGGGTCAAGTATGTTACATCATAAGAAAGGAAGAAAGAAAACAGACAACCCAAGCGCCAAGGGGAGGGAGGAGGGGAGGACGGCACGCCGCCACCACACAGGGATTTTAAGGAGAGGAGTGTGGTGCTAGCCGTCGCCCACCCCAACCCTTGGTCGTCTGCCTCTTTCTATCTCCCTTTTACGCCAACATTTTTTCTTTATTTGCACGATTCACACGACAGACAAGGCGCAGACGACGGCAAAGAAAGAAAGAAAACAGACACCCCAAGGGAGGGATGGGAGAACGGCACGCCGCCACCACACAGGGATTTTAAGGCATAGCGGGTCAGCTCAAGCCCTAAAACGGCGGGAGGGGTAGGGCTATATCGATAGAGCTAGAGGGCTCAACCACCCCTCCACCCCTCCACCCTCCACCCCTCCACCCTCCCGGAGCGAGAGGGGTCCGTCCTCGAGCCCTCCCACTTCCACCCCTCCGACCGGAGGGCTCGCCAGCCCACAGGGCTGGAGGGGTCCCCGTCTGTGTGTGTGTGTGTGTGTGTGTGTGTGTGTGTGTGTGTGTGTGTGTGTGCTGTGTGTGTGTGTGTGTGTGTGCGTGTGTGTGCACACTACTCACTCACACTCACTCACGTCTCGCCTCGCAGTCACTTGGAGAACTTGGAGTGCGGTCACAACACGTTTTGCAGGAGCTGGTTGGACGGTGGATATTTTTTCTTTTTTCGCGTTTTTTTACGAAAGTACGTCCCACGCTGGTCCCGCCCCCCGGCGGCCTTGTTAGTTGCCTGTCCTGTCCTGCGGAGCTCAAGCAGCCCTGTCCCGCGGCGGCGCTGTACATACACGATGACGCTCGCCGACGAAATCGAGCGCAGCGGCGCGTTCCGCGATGTGATCCGCGCGTCCAACCGGCAAGAGTCGGAAATCGCCAGGCTGCGGGATGCTTTTGCGGCCAAATCGAACCGAGGTGAGCGCAAGCTCAAGCTCTACCACGGCACGTCGCTGGAGGCGGCGCTGCGCATCGAGAGCCAGGGCTTCCAGGCGTCAGCGACAGGCTGCCTCGGCCCCGGCGTCTACTTGGCGCGCGCGGACAAGGCTCTCCGCTTTGCGCAGGAGGGCGGCCGGCACGGCGGCGCGGAGGGCGGCCTCGTCGAGGTCCTCGTGCGCTTCAAGAACCCAAAGTTTGTTGCCGCCGATGACGACACTTGGCAGGCCGAGGGCTACGACGCGTGCCGGGCCGAGGAGACCTCCGCCTCGCAGAATATGGAATGGTGTGTCCTCCACCCCTCCCAGTGCCACGTCGTGCGCGTGCAGCCCGTCCCGCTGGTTGGCGGCAGCGCGCGCGTCAACGCTGTGTCGGAGGGCTCTTCCTTTGAGCTGGGGAGGGAGGCGCTCGGCGAACTCTCCCTAAACAGGGCCTCTGCCTTTGAATGCGGCCTCCGGAAATCTCAAAAAAATTACTCCCGCGCGAAACCCAGGCCAAATTTGGCGGGCCCCTCCCGCCAAGTCCGAGGGAACCCCAAAAAGCGGGGTAGGCCGGAATTTTTTGTTTTGCCCCAAAGGCACGGGCCTTCTTTTTGGAAAAAAAGGG